AGGCGTGGCTCGAGTGTTTTATTGGCCAAGATGCGACTCGGGCATTAGGCTGGCCGCGAGGCGTGGCTCGGGCGTTGGATTGGCCGAGATGCGACTCGGGCATTAGGTTGGTCGCGAGGCGTGGCTTGAGCGTTGGATTGGCCGAGAGGTGACTGGCCGCGAGGCATGGCTCAAGCGTTGGATTAGCCGATGTTAGCGAACAAATATACCGTGGCTGATGTGTCAGCACGAGTAGGTCCGCGGGTCGATGTCGGGAGCTTTCTGTAGTGTGAGCTAGATGATGAGGTGGTCGTGCCCTCGGGAAGGAGTGCTGGTTGGCGTTGGTCTGGATCTAGGTCGATCGACAACTCTGCTTTGCGTGGTGGATGGCGTCCCCTGGGTTGAGACGCTCGTCGCTCGCAGGTGGTCGTTCGCCTACAAAAAATGGCCATCGCTGGGTGATCCCCGGCTTTGACCCCTCCGACGAGCAAGTCAGTAATATGATGGATTGTTTTCTATATCTCTCTCCCCCTGGTCGGAGGCTGGCCAAGGGCTTTATACTATTGCACAAGGGTCGATAGCACGTCGATTCGCTGTGGTCATTGGCCCTCAAGGGATGGGACGACACTTTTGACCTGTCGTCGTCTCGGGACATGCGGAGCAGCGATAGACGGCACTTCCCCGAGCTCTCGGGACGGGACAGGTGGAATAGCTTCTTAGTACGGTTCTGACTTGGCGTATGGCGTCAACTGTGACGTGTCTTGGGCCCAAATACGTCGTATTACTTCTCCCCCCCTTCCAAGGCGTGGCGGGGGGGGGGGGGGGGGAGGGGGGGTCCTTGAAGGGTCGAGAGGCATGCCTGGGTTGGAGTGATGATGATCGCTTACGAGGGGAAGTTGGATTGACTCGCCGTGGGGTGATTTAGAGGGGCGGCGCCCTGTGCCTCAGAAGGATTGATATTGCTGATCGAGCCGTCGGGGCCTGACGAGGTGAGATCGACATGTCGTAGGTCGAGTAAATGGTTTGGCGAGGCACGGAGTTATGGCCACCGTGTTTGCAAGTCAGCGAGTGAGCTGGAACGGCTCGTTTAGAGACTTGACTCACTACGAGTCGGGGATCGTCGTGGAGCGACTTGGACAACGGACTAGGCCGGCAAGGTGTGGCTCGAACGTTGGATTGGTCGTGTGGCGTGGCTCGGGCGTTGGACCGGTCGAGATGCGACTCGGGCATTATATTGGCCGCGAGGCATGGCTCGGGCATTGGATCGGCCGTGATGTGACTCGGGCTTTAGATTTGTCACGGGGCATGGCTCAAGCGTTGGATTTGGCCGAGGTACGACTCGGGCGTTGGATTGGCCAAGGTGTGGCTCGAGCATTGGATCGGCCGAGGTGCGACTCGGGCATTGGGTTGGCCGAGGTGCAACTCATGCATTGGATCGATCGAGATGCGACTCGTGCCTTAGATGGGCCGCAAGGCGTGGCTCGGGCATTGGATTGGCCAAGATGTGACTCGGGCATTAGAATGGCCGCGAGGCGTGGCTCTAGCGTTGGATTTGGCCGAGGTACGACTCGGGCGTCGGGTTGGCCGAGGTGCGACTCAAGCTTTAGATCGATCGAGATTCGACTCGGGCATTAGATGGGTCGTGAGGTGTGGCTCGGGCATTGGATCGATCGAGATGCGACTTGGGCATTAGATTGGTCGCGAGGCGTGGCTCGGGCATTGGATTGGCCGAGATGCGACTCGAGCATTAGATTGGCCGCGAGGCGTGGCTCGGGCGTTGGATCGGCCGATATGCGACTCGGGTGCTTGGACTTATGGGCCGAGTGACTATACTCAGGCTCAGGTTTCGGTGTCAGCGGGTCGCAAGTCGAGAGCGATCTGGAGCGACCAGGGCAGGAGCTGGGCTTGTGGGCCGAGTGACTATACTCGGGCTCAGGGTTCGGTGTCGACGAGTCACAAGTCGGGAGCGATCTAGAGCGACCTGGGCAGGAACTAGACCTGTGGGTCG